GCCTGCCATACCCCACACATTAACTCGAACAAAAATCTTCTCCTTTGCCATCTTCCTTGCAGCTGTATTGCCGTTTCACTGTCTTTTAAACACATTTTCCCTTTTTTTATATTCAAATCGGGGCTCCACTGATAATGGCATTTCATATACTTGTTATGCATGTGCTCAACTCTGAGTGGACCTAATTAGAGTTGATTGAACTAATTCATAGCAGCCTTTGTGAAACCAAAAACTCAGAGTTCCCGACCTTAGGCTAGATCAATTTAGAGTTGCAGATTTCAGTTTTTTAAAACTGCTTAGTGAAACGGACCCCAGGACATCTATGGATCGATGTCTTTGTACAGGTGGACTTCATGGGTTGGTACCGACATCTGATGTAAAGATCATGTCAATCGTACCCTAGCAATATATTTACAGAGAAAAAGCTGAGAGCATAGCTGTCATTTTGCGGGAGGCAGCTAAACTTTCAAAACCAATACACCACATTATATCTTCAGTACTCACCATAGAGTCTGAGGCAGGTCCTGGCAATCAGGATTCCTGTACGATAGGTGATAAACAGACACCTGTAGCAGCCTTCATCCTCCTCCATCACCTTCCTGATCACCATGGAGCAGCTCTGAAGATCTTCACACTGAAAATCCATCTTCTCTGCCAGATCAACTCTCACGCTGTAACCATATTTCTTGGTGTAGGTGGCGAGATTCTTCTCTGCATATGGGAGAACTTTCTGCCAGGTGATCTGGAGGACATCTTTATCCTCAATGAGCTGACAGCTTAGAGAGGCTTGATCACCCACTGCTGCCCACACAGTCTCCTTTGTTTCTATTAGAGCCAACTGACCTAAAGGTTGTGAGAAAGATAGTTTAAAATGAATTTTGGTGCTTTAGATCACCGGCGTCGGCAGGCCCTTTTCACAGGGTGGATCTGCAGTGCCTGGGGCATTGATTTTTTGATTAATTAATTTTCCACTTTCACAGCTCTGTTCTCACAGCACCGCCGCAGCTCTGGTGCACCCCAAGCTGGCAGGAAGTGTATTTCCTCACCACCTCCCGCCACAGCGCAGATTTTTTGTGGGTGCTTCACAGGTCGAGTTGCGGGGGCTGGAGAGGCATTGGAGAGAAAGAGAAATGGTGCAAGAAGCGTCCTTTTCCAGGACCTGGTTTAGCAAGAAGGCTTGGCTAGCAGTATGTAGCTTTATTCTGCTTTCCCTGCCTCCTTTTTAGAAACGAATCTGACCCAGCATGGATAAAGACAGCTAGGACTGATTTAAAGCACTTTGTAGAAAAGGCAAAGAAGAATGAACAATCTGGGATTCACATTGAAAATAATATAATATAGTCTACCTTTTCTAGATGTTTGTTAATCTGCATAGTTCCTGATAAATAAACACATTGTCAATAGCTTTTATAAATTAAAAAAAAAATAAAGCTGACTAATATATTCTCCATTATTAAACTGGTACATTATTAATTGTTTAGGTGTGTGACACAATGTTGGACCATGCAAAACAGATTTACCTTGACAAAGACTCAGAAGGGCAAGATTTATGTACAAAATGTAAAGCTGTTCATGAAATTATGTTTTGTTTTTATAATGTTTTTTGTTGTTGGCATTCATATAAATATACTGGTGTGATAACTTAGTATACAGTTGACTGATTTTTGATATATGTCTATTTTGAATTTATAGCCCCCCTGGAGAAAACTCAACCAGCCGCCACTGGCCGAGACTCTACCGTTTACTGTTAAAAAAATGAACATCCAGCTCTCCCATCTTTCTGGACATGATAAACACACCTAGTCACCATCGCACCATCATAGGATGGGCCCAAATAGAAATGATAAACACAGACATGCATGTATATAGAGCTGTTTTTTTGTTTTTCCATTTACTGTTGCACATTTCAAGTTTTCAGTTTTCAAGTTCATGTTTTCTGACAGATACACTATATTGCCAAAAGTATTTGCTCACCCATCCAAATTATTGGAATCAGGTGTTCCAATCACTTCCATGGCCACAGGTGTATAAATTCAAGCACCTAGGCATGCAGACTGTTTTTACAAACATTTGTGAAAGAATGGGTCNGGTGCTTCACAGGTCGAGTTGCGGGGGCTGGAGAGGCATTGGAGAGAAAGAGAAATGGTGCAAGAAGCGTCCTTTTCCAGGACCTGGTTTAGCAAGAAGGCTTGGCTAGCAGCATGTAGCTTTATTCTGCTTTCCCTGTCTCCTTTTTCGAAACAAATCTGACCCAGCATGGATAAAGACAGCTAGGACTGACTTAAAGCACTTTGTAGAAAAGGCAAAGAAGAATGAACAATCTGGGATTCAAATTGAAAATAATATAATATAGTCTACCTTTTCTAGATGTTTGTTAATCTGCATAGTTGCTCATAAATAAACACATTGTCAATAGTTTTTATATATTAAAAAAATATAAAGCTGACTGATTCTCCATTATTAAACTGGTCCATTATTTGTTTAGGTTTGTGACATCATATTGGACCATGCAAAACACAGATTTTCCTTTACAAAGCCTCAGAAGGGCAAGATTTCTGTACAAAATGTAAAACTGTTCATGAAATTATGTTTTTTTTTATAATGTTTTTTTGTTGTTATATAAATATATAAATATACTGGTGTGATAACTTAGTATACGGTTGACTGGTTTTTGATATATGTCTATTTTGAATTTATAGCCCCCCTGGAGAAAACTCAACCAGCCGCCACTGGCCGAGACGCTACCGTTTACTGTTAAAAAAATGAACATCCAGCTCTCCCTTCTTTCTGGACATGATAAACACACCTCATAGGATCATCACCAGTGCACCATCATAGGATGGGCCCAAATAGAAATGATAAACACAGACATGCATGTATATAGAGCTGTTTTTTTTTTCCTTTTACAGTTGCACATTTCAAGTTTTCACGTTCATGTTTTCTGACAGATATTTAATGAAGATAAATTTTGCCTTCTTCAGTAGTGGATTAGCGATATAGTGTTAAGCTCACAAGTGGGCCATTTCAATTCAGTTTGGTTCAGGTAGATATTTAATGATGCAGAAAAAAACAATCTGATTGTACAATTTATTGATGACACTTTATAATAATAAATAAGTGCTATAAAATATTTGCTTGCGTGCTTGCATTAATTATTTGTGGCAATTTTTTTTCCTAATGAATAATTGCCCAAAATTTGTTTGCTCACATGCTTTGCTTGCTCGCATTTTATTTGGTGCCCTATTGTGATCCCTTTAGCAGCTTCACATTCAAAGCAGCTTCACAATGTGGACTAATCAGCTGGTCTTACAGTGCATAAAAGTTCTGTATCAACAGACACAAATCAAGCTGGAGATTGATTTGTGTTAACAGAAATCTGATGTTTAGAATGGTGAAACATCCTGCATTAGGTTTCATAGCCTTATTTAACATATAACCAAATAGGACTGACCACAAATTTCTGGGGAGTCTTTTAAAGTTTTTTCAACAGAAAACAAATAGACCCTTCTTTCAGGACCTGCATCATGCCAATTCTGTGTAACTGAAAAACAAAAAATAAACAAATATAATCAACATATGTACCAGGTGTATCTTCTTGCAGAAGCTGAGAAGAGAGAATCTCATCTATATTGAAACATGAAGTGAATTGGAATGAGGTCCAAAGACATTATAGATTGCAACACCCACAGAAAAACTTTAATTTTAGAGGCATATCCTTTAAACTTAAAAAAAAAAGTGTTTTCCTATTATGACAGAGACATGTTGGGTATTGCTGCACGAGAGATTGCTGCAAGTCGTTAATCAACCTTCATTCTAATGAAAAAAATCAAAATATTATGGCAGAATTTCATGAGCTTAGTTTGAATAGCTGGGCACAAACGAGTCCCTCAGCTGTACATAACTCAAATTATACCCTATTAACAAGTATCTTTAGAACAGGAAAGTCGGTGTTTTTAGTAGCCATCAGAAAGTCATGATTTCAGTCCCATAGAAAGGTTTAAGTTAAGTTAGCACAATACCGTGCAAGCAAAACTGCCTTCATTGACCTGGTTAGACCAGTTCTTCAAAATAAAAATACCAGGAAGCTAAAAGAATAACGTTTAAAATATCCTAACATTTACTTTTTAATTGGAATAATAAGCTTTTTGCAATAATAAGCCTCTTCATATATTTAATTTGGAAGAAAAAAAGCACAAGAGGTGTTTTATGGTTTTTAAAAGAAGTCTGGAATTCTGTACTGTATATCTCAGGACATAAGAGAAGTAATCCATGTTTTCACTTTTTTTTTTTGCTTCAGGTGAGAAAATAGACTTTTATAATGGGGGAGGCATCCAGTTATTGCGGTGTAACAACTTAATATTTATTTATTAAAAATCTTTTGTAACTCCAAACTAAAGCGAGAAAATGTATAGCCTAAAATAATAATCCAAAGTAGAGGATGTCTGCTTCAGTCAACAACAATATAATGATCTCTCACCTGTCTGAAGGATGGCGTTAACTAAAAAACAGCTGATTATAACAGCGGGTCTCATTCTGCGCTTCTTGTCATGTTTCCCGTCCTGCTTGATGATTTGCAGCTGAAGTGAAAGTTAGACAGGTGAGCGTTAGACGTGGCGATGACGTCACGAATCACCTGAACGCATTCGGATGGATTAATCCCAATACATTATATTTTTTAAAAATCAGATTAATTGTTATTTGGAAAAGATACAGTATAAAAAACATTAAACTATAGCCTAAACTAAATCTCATTTTTAAGTTATAAACCTTACAAATTAGCACTTCAGAAAGTTGATCCATGATATTAATACTTTAACATGCCTGTAAAAGCTATGTATTACCACTAAACAGCAGATGAGAAGCAGAAGTGTTTCAATAATTATAGAGCCCATATGAACCAATTAACCACGATCTAAAAAAGTAGTTCCCCTCTAAACCAGCAGGTGGCGGCAATGATCCTTTCAAATGGAACGTCTCTAACTATTTGACATTTCAATTCTAAGTGTAATATAACCACAAACTGACCACAAAAATACAGTAATAAATCACATCAATATACTTACTCTAAACATAAACAAATCAGTTGTGTTCTTTTCACAACTAGCCATTGTGTTTTGCTGGAGAAAAGGCAAGATTATCTCCACTTGCTCTACTGATTTAATGTGTAAATGATGCAGAGCCACAAATTATTCACTTAGAGAGCATAAATATTTAAATGTGTGTTCATTCATTAGCAATGCCTTTAATGAAAATCTGGACTGTCGTCTGTGATTTATTTTGAAAGTATGGATATTCAGCTTGTTTGTCTTTATGTTGGTGGGCTACACAGTATGATTAGTGAAGAAGACCATGAACTTTTTATTTTTGGGCCCTATGAAAATACCTGGTTCCCCTACTGCCACAAAACATCTGTATATTTTCTTGAGAGTTTTACCTTAAAGAAGAAATATGCACATTTAAACTGAATAGCGGACTGAAGTTTTTTTTGGTGTAAAAACCCACACTTATCTTGTATCTAACTCTGTTAATCTTCCCATCAACTCTGAAGAACTGAATTTTCCTGTTAAAAACTTTTCCCAGTGGAACGGTGTTACCACCTGAGCTCCTTCTAAAGCATCTCCTCTTTGGACTCATTTGACCTCCTTCTTCCACATGTTTTCTGTTTTCCTGCATGGTCTGTAGGAAACGTTAGAAATCAGCATCTCAAGACTTTCTTTCATCAAAAACATGATTTGAAAGAATCAAAACTCAGATTTGTTCAGTGCTGAATACTCGCCCAGATTTTCACTGCTAATTTATATTAATGTTTATGAAACATTGCAAATTATAAAAAAATCATATATATTTTTTATTTCCCTTCAAAGGTATACAATACTTTAATACATTGCATAAAAATTCTGGTAAATAAACTGAAGCAAATCATTTTATAAGGATCAGGCACTTAATGAGTACATAGTCAGTCTGATATCTCTGAAAGAGTTCCTCACCATCAACAGATGTTCCTTTAATATTAGTGACCTGCAATAAACAGATCACTCATATTATTTAAACTATGAATTTTAATAAAAGATCTAGCCTTCATTTCTGCTTTTTCATTATTTTCAACAGCAACTTCTTCCCCATCATTGAGAATTGGATATCTATATTCCATTAATTATTTTAATCAATGTATAAACTTGACTCATTTCTGTTTTCACTGTCACCTTTTATATTCAGTGTTTTGGGTATTTTGATTCTTTTTAAAAAATTGAAATTATTTATTTCTAGATTGTTTTGCTTTTTCACACTCCTTAGACAGCCATTGTGCTATTTTCTTCCTTTTCCCTCCTCCTCTCCTTTTTGTTTGCTGCATTTAGCCATTGTGCTATTTTCTTCCTTTTCCCTCCTCCTCTCCTTTTTGTTTGCTGCATTTAATATTGTTGAAAAAAAGAAGATATTTTAAACTATCATTGTATTATTAAAAACATTAAACAAGAACAGAAACTAAAGTAAATCTCTGGAAATTATATGGAGCAGCTTAACGATGTTCTTATCTAAACTAAACTATATTAACATCTCTGTTGGATAATGTCTCCTACCCCATGCATGAAGCTGTTGCAGAACTGGAGAGCTCCTTCAGTTACAGACTGCTGCACCTTAAATGCACCAGGAAGCGCTATCACAGGTCCTTCCTCTTAGCAGCTGTAAGACTTTATAACCATCACTGTTCCCAAAAACCTCAATAAGTGCTGATTTTTGCACAGTTTCTGTCTTAGCTAAATAACATGCTTCTGTCATTTTGCACATCTCTGATGTTGCTGCTATTTTTCACATTTCCATTACTCTAAAAATGTCCACAGCTGTTTATTGATTATTTACTCTCCAGATTCAAAGCATTTATATTGTAAAAACACTGTACAGTACAGTGCTTATTTGTTCATTTTCTTAACTCTGTTACCTATTCTGTTATTTTTATACACGTTTCTAAGGTCCACATTTTGGGACAATAAACATATTTTCTACTCTATTCTATTCTGCTGGAATGTCACGGTAGAGGAGGGCCAGCAGGTTCTCCATGATGTTCCATCCATGGATGTTCTCCATGGTTATCAGCTTGTGTGCTGATGATGTCCAAAAGAGGCATAGCAACCAGTCTCTCATTGTGTTTGGCTGCACTGAAGGATAAACAGGCTTGTCTGATTACAAGGAGAGTCACAGTTTGTTTAAACTACCAGAACTAAATCCAGATGGAAACAGGACTGTTACTATATCCATGATGAAATTCTGGAGAGAGAAAAAAATGTTGGTCACATCCTTAAAGAATTCTGCTCCAAATCATCAACCCTCCACCTCTGTGCTTAACAGCCGGCTATATTTCAGGATTTATCTGAATGTAGTTTTAACATCATAACTAAACCTAAACAACAGGGATTAAACTCTTGATTTAATGTTGAGTTCAGCAGAATATTTTTCCTTTTATGGTTCAAGTTTCTAACATAAAAAACAAAAACACCTAAGTTTAAAGACTCAAACCGTACAGAAGCATAAGGGATGATTACAGGGACCTAAAAGCAGATAGAAAAGTGTTGCCTGACATTACAGCTCCCACAATGATGAAATCTTATAAGTAGTAGTGGAGTCAGGGGGAATAAAAACATCTTCAAACGTTTGTGTAGATGGAGCAGCAGGATCCTCTAGACAAAAAAAATCCCTTAAATGGGACCTGCCTGAAAAAATAAGACACCAAAATATCCTCAAAAGCTAAACATTATGCCAGGAACCCAAGAAACTTAAGAAAAATTAGAAAGTAACGGATCTATCAGTCTGGAAATGGTTATAAAGCCATTTTTAAAGCTTTGGGTTCACATTGAACTACAGCAAGAGCAATTATCTGAACTTAGACAAACTTTATTGTCATTTTGTATGCACAATTTTGTTGCATACAGCTTACAACAGTGTATTGATATTGCAGTTGGAGTAGATACACAGAACTTAAACAATGTAGGAGAAAAAAAGTAACCAGTTTAAATATTGGTGCAAAAAGGGAATAAATATGAAAACTTTCAGTGCAGTGCAAAAATAAATATGGTGTAAAATGCTGACCCGCACGCTCCTTGAACACCTGCTTCAGTATGTTATCGGGGCCTTCCGTGGGTTGACTCTTCCACACGTCAGCAGTGTCAAGGCAGAGTGCCTCCTCTTTCTGATGGGGAACAGATTTCAATGCTGGACTGCTGATTAGGGCTTCAAACCTTCCAAAGGCATTGCTTAGTCCATTTAGGAAGTAAGCAACAGCCACACCCACTGGGGGAAGGGTGTGTCGTAGTCTGTAATTGCTTGTATGCCTTACCATATCCTCCTGGTGTTGCTGGCATCGTGGAAAAGATCCTGGATTTTCTGACTGTGGTTCTGCTTCGCTGATCTAATAGCATGGTTCAAGTGGGCATACACTGTCCTCAGTGCCTCTTTGTCATCAGACTTCAAGGCTAAGTTCTGTGCTTTTATGCGTTTGTCGGACCTCCTTGGTCCAGGTTCATTGGTTGGCCCAGGTGATGATGTTCTTTGTGGTGCTGATGTCCTCAATGCGTTTGTTGATGTAGGCTGACACAGTCATAGCATACTCATCAAAGCTGGTCTTGTATGTTGCTGCAGCTTTGAACATGTCCCAGTTAGAGCGCTCAAAATAGTCCTGGATTTCCTCCAGGACTGTTTTGAGAGCCCCCAGGGTTCATACCATCACCTGCTTCACTGTGGGTTTTGCTTTGATCCACAGGGGTTTGTATGCAGGAATTAGCAGGTCCAGAGAGCCGAGGTGGCGGCGGGGGGGCTGCTCTGAATGCGTCTTTCACATTAAGGGCGGATTATACTTCTGCAACCGCACACATCAAATGTTGCTTGCTTCTGGTCGCAAACCAGTTTTGCTGGTTTGCTTCTGCAACGTCGATCTGCCGCCGGGGGTGTTTATTTTCCAAAACAACATGTCTGAGGCATTGTACACGTGGTTGTACTTCCGAACTTCCTCGATCAACCTTTCGTCGTGGTTATCCATAGTTGTTACTCCTTGGTTTTTAAAAATGGCGCACCCCGGCAACGAATCGAGAAGGACAACCCCACAGACAGCCCGGAAAGGCATACCAAGGACCAATCACAGCTGCTTTTTGTCTGCGCACTTCTGCTTGAGGTCTGCGCAGGTATGAGACCGTCCGACATCAAGTCAGGATTTTCTTGAGGTATGTAACGACGGTTGCAGAACCTCTGCGCGGGGGTGTGGTCGCGTGCAGAGACAGTTTGGACGGTTACAGAGGCTATGCGTCAGAAACATAAATTGGCCTATAGTGAAAACCAAATCTAGAGTGTTCTGTCCTCCAGTTGCAAAATCCTCATGTTGTAAAAATGAGGGTGAGCGGTCTTCAAATTGGCCTGGTTAAAATCCCCAGCAATGAAGAAAACGCCCTCCATACATGCAGATTGTACCACAGAGATAACACTCATGGCCTCTTTAGTATTGTTAGCATACACAGCAGTGATGCTAACAGCAGTAAACTCCCTGAGCAGGTAGAAATGTCTGCAGTTAACTGTGAAAAGCTCAGTGTCCAGAGAGCAGGACGCCTAACCTTTAAACAGCATTTGTACCCATCAGAGCAGTTGCTTTTAACAATGTAAAAAAAAATACCCCCCCCACACACACACACACACACACACACAAACATGGTGATGGAAATTTAAGAGAAAGACACAAGGGTTCCTTCCTCATTTTCATTTATTTTAATTATAAAAATACATCAATGAACTTTATATTTTAACACCCATAAAACCCCATATTTTGTTATATTGATTTTTTTGGTGCTACTTTTGGGTGAGGTTCAGGGGGGCAGCTTTCTACATCAGGTGTTGTGGGTAATTTTGTTGGTAATTCTGTTGTTGGTGATTGTCTGCTGGATTGTCTGTAGATTATGACAGATGTCGGCTCCTCAGTGTTCTTTTGTGGCTGAAGCATTTCCTCATTCCTTGATTAAAAGGAAAAATATGTTTTAGCCTAAAGACTGTTTAAGTAAAATGAACCAAAGACATCAAAGACAAAAATAGGTGGAGTGAATGTGATATTATCATGGATATCACAAGCAAGCATAAAATATAACAATGTTAATGATAAATAGCTAAATAAAATAAAAAACTTACTTAATAATACTGATTTGATCTTCAGAGTTTTTCTCCATTTGAGGCTTCCTGTGTGACACATGCAGAGTTTTTAGATTGGGACAATTATTCTTATTACTGACTAAACAGATCAGTTCTCTTAAAGTAGTACCTGTTCTGATGCGTTTGTCTCAAATAGAAAGTGGCAAGTAAAGCTACTAAAACCCCAAAGACCAACACTCCAAAAATCAGTCCTGTGGAGAGAAATCAACAGGTGTTAGAAACATGACTCAATAAATAACTCTACTTTGACTAGGCCATTCTATAACATTAATTATATGTAAACATTTATCTCAGTTTTAAAGCCGAAACCTTTCTTGTATTATCTTGTATTTAACTCTATTAATCTTCCCAACTCTGACCAGCTTTGAATCATTGCTATTTAAAATTATCCCCACAGCATTATGTTGTCACCACCATGCATTGCCACCATGTACTGCCTGAAGGTATTGCTCTCCTCCTCACACAGGATTTTGTATATTTACAGAAATATCTACCTCTACTTTAGTCTCATCTTACCAAAGTTCTTTGTCCCACATATTTGCAGTTTGGCTGCAAGTTCTATAAGAAACCCAGGATTTTAAATATTACTTTCAGCAATGTTTTCTTGCATTTGTTCACCATTAAAAGATGAGGAAATCTGAAAAAGTATGAGTATGAGAATATTTTTACCTTCAAAAGATGTTTCTTTAAATTCAGGAACGGTGATCATCTTCTCTCTGGGAGCAGCAGAGAGCACTGACACTGAACATCCAACCTGTGTGCTGCAGGAAGCTGACAGCAGAGCTGTGGTGGTGACGGTGACTGTACCGTTGCTGTGGGTCACACTGCTGCTGTTGTAGTGGGAGAAGCTGAGGTTCTGCTGTAGAACAGTCAGTGTTACAGTGGGAGCAGGTCGACCTGTGGCTGAACAGGACACAACTGACTCTGCTGACATCAAGGACGGGTTCATGCAGCTCTGGGAGAAGAATAAACTTCATGATCAACATCTAATTATA